AGTGACCGTCGTGGCCAACAGACAGACCGGGGTGAGTATGCAGCACCCCCACCCAAAGCTGAAGCAGTCTTCACAGGGGCATGGAAAGGAAGAGGTTTACTCTATGCCTGAAACCCATGCTTCAAAGCACAACCTGGCTGTCTGCGGCAGAAGGAATCAGACCACCTCCTTTACTTTGCAAGCAACCCCACATGAGGGTAGTGGGAAAAGACAGCCTCAAGTGACCAAAATTTGACGTCAGACCACTTTGCATCCCTTGCACCGCAATAAATTCCTCTGTGGATGGCATAGTCAAGTTGGCTGGCACCAAATCTGCAACCAAGCCACAAAATAACTTACAACAGCTACAGTCACAGCTACTCACCCTCCTGCAGCGGCAGCGTGGAGGCACGTTCTTCCAAAACTATCAGGGGTGTCTATTTCAAAGCCTGCAGACAGCACGTGCTCATTACTAAACAAGGACACTATGCTATACTTTTGTCCTAGTTAAACCACAAGAAACATTGCAGAGACAGAAAAATCAGTTAGTTGGAAAAAAACAGAAAGCAAGCAACTACAGTCAGAAAGAAGTTGTCACGGGAACGGCGAGCGGCTGCTCCCGTTTGGCAGCTCTATAAAAAGAGCTGCAAAGTTGATGAGCATCTATTTCCGCATCCAGCTCTGCGCCACATCCCTATTTAAAACCATGTGACAGGCATTTGTGAGGCAGATACTTATCAAGAGGACTGCGACAGCAGGACATGAAGACAGAAAACACGAAGAAATGAGGAAAAAGCACAGAGTCAGCCTGAACATGAAACGGGGCCATTTTTATTGCGTGTGGTTTTCAGGTTGGAAAGAGGCTTTCAGGAGCATGCAGGGATATTCGTCAAGACGGACAAGGCCAAAGATGTAAGACTAACAGTATTAACTCTGGTCACCCAGAGCTTTTTTTCTTCCTTCCTGATCTAGTGGTCAAGGCCAGAGCGTACCAAGGTTTAATGTAATGGGGTATGTAAGTGCCATTTGTCACACTTTTTTTTTTATATCCTACAGGACTCAAGTTTAGGGAAAAGAAGTAGGAGATTTTACGTGTTAAGCAATGAAGCAATTTTCTAGAAAAAGCATATGATCTGCCTTGTGTTTTTTTAACTCATGGGAACTCTTGCCTGGAAAAAAAGAATTTGGGATTTGGCACCTGATTACTGCCTCTTTTGAAACAGTTGTGTCAGCAAACTCCTGCTCCTTCTGCTTTGGGCTCTGGTGAGGACCCTGAGATTGCTCTCTCGACACTACACTTTCACTCATTTCCCGTCTCGTGCCCACAGAGCTTTGGCCAGCCTAACTCCTTTACTTTGGCTGGATTCAGGAACACACTTCAGCTGCATCTAAAATATATCATTGTCAGTGAGATGTAAATCCCTGCGCCAGTGCAGGCCCCAAGGAGATAATTTCCTGAATTATTCCTTTGGCGGGGGGAACCCAACCCAAAATGGCATCTCACATTCCTACAGTTTGGAAAAGGGCCCTAAATTTCCTCCCTTTTCCCAGTGAATTAACATAAACTCTCTGAACCTGCCAGGAGGAAAGGGCTTTGGGCATGAACAATATAGGAAGTACCAGCACGCCGTTAGGAAAGCCTCGCATGCTCCTGTACGCCACACCACACAGCCGAACGCGGCAGCACAGGAAGTCTTTCGTTTGAACAATTCACAACAAAGAGTATATAGGGGCCGTAAGCAGCGGAGACACACACTACTCGAGCTCCACAGACACTGCGGGATTTACTTACCCGATGACAACAATTTCCTGCAGCAGTCTGAGTGAGCATTCAGCGCCGCTAAGTGTAAAGGGAACATGTTGTGGATCCCACACCTGAAAGGCACAACAGCCTCATTACACAGAGTCATGTGAAGATGCAGGTTGCATACAGACGCAACACATCAAAAGCTCCTTCCACAAAGGCAGTGTTTTTTATCCTTTTCGAGGAAGATTCTTCCTGCCGTGTTATTTCTATCTGTATTTCCTTACCAGCTTTCTCGGGAGTTAAAAATATTCTGATACAGCAAAATCTTGGCATTACAATTTGAACAGAATGTGGCAGGAAGGTTTCTAAAAATTTAAGGCGAAAGCCAAGGTAAGGGAGGAAGCGAGAGAGCAGATACTGCTTGGAGTCAATTTCCCGGTATAGGATGCACAAACTTCTGCATCAGCCACACATACTGCAACTGCCATTCTGAGGTAAAAGTAAATGCCAAAATCTTCTCAATATTATTTCTGAAACCCATTTTTCTGGCAGTTAACATCCTTTAGATAACTCTCCTGTAGGTTTTCAAAGCCTCCCCTTCTTCCCTCTGTCTCTCCCATGGGGCTGGGGTAGCTGATGACTCTTCTTCACACTTTCCTTTAGGCTGCCGTGACACTTATATTTTTCTTCCCACATCCAAAGAACTAAACATCTAACTTTCCTATTTGCTCCAGCTACTCTCCTCACACTCCCTTTCACTTCCCCCCTCCTTTAACACAGGACCCTCTTTTCAATTACACTATAAACTTCTCAGAGCAGACATACTGGGGGGGGTAAAAAAAAAAAGGTAGCCACCTATCATTAGGCTAAATCTCTATCAGGCAACCATGTAGTTTTTAAACAAGCTGAGCACACAGCAGCTTTTATTAGTATCAGCAAATCATCCCAGTTCAGGCCCTAAGCATGCCGCTGTTCACTGTCTTAGAAGACTTTTGGGCTTGGACATCTCGGCTTCTATCATCTAGTATTGTTTTACGAAAAGCACATAAAGTGCACATAAACATGGAGCCTCTGAAACCAACTATCTCGACAAGATTATCATCTACTGCCTGCTTCAGCAGATATATTTTTGAAAACTGACAAACTCTTGAACAATAGCAGATGGATTCATATCTGCCTTTCATTTCTGCAAGACAACTGGTGGATGGGGGAAGAGGATTTCAGATAAGGACTCGAAGACAAAGGAACTCGTCTTTCTGCAAGACTCACCATAAATCATAACCACTTATGAAGCTTTAGACAAAAATGAATGTGGATGTTTATAAAGATATCTTGCTCTCTCCAACATTTGATACATATATGTATTTAATGTTCGTTTGTTTTTTACAAACTTGTTCTTTCCAGAATCCACAGGCCCATCCTTCCTCAGTCTTCACATTAAACATGTCCTCCTTGCTGCTTCACTACACTAAGGAGTGACTTGTGGTGCTGTACAAGTTTTAATTTTGTTAGTGTCAGCGTCTACATCTTGGAGTAAATCTATTAAAAGATGATCTGACAGCCTATTCTTTGAAGGAAACAGCACAAGCTGCACCAAGCTGCTGCATCTGTATAAACAGGCTGCATTTTTTAGCTGTGGATTCATTTATTTAAGCTAACACTGGACATTCTGTATTGCTGTGCTTCTTCCTTCACCCATTTCCCTCTATCTCCTCCTCCACCTAGTTATCTATAGCAATATTTTTTCTCTTTTAGGTCAAGACTTCCACCCAGCACATGTTTTGGCCGGTTTCCATCGAAATACACTATCTGCACATCTGCTAACCAGTGTCACACTTCTATAGCGCTGTTCACACTGGTTCCTCCCATCACTTACACACTTTCCCCTTGAAATGCAGTTGCCTCAAAGACTGACCAAGCTGTCCACAGTTGTTTCTAACAACGCTGCAGAATTTTCTTTTCAAAGCCAGTTGGGGAGCTCAGCCAGAGTTATTTACATGCAGCACATATGAAAGCCCATTCCCAGCATTTCAATGCTCCTTGTTTAGCACAGAAAGTAGCATCGTTTGGGTCTGCCTGGTATCTCTGAGCCAACTTCTTAATTCACTTATTTCTGCTGCTGGAAAAAGTACTTTATTTGATCAATGTTCCAGTCACCCAAGTGTGAAATAGAAATTTCTAACTGGATAACCCTGATTCCAAGAGTGGGCACTGCATCTCATTTTCCCTTTAAAACTCAGGATAAGAGACAGACAGAGACTCACTGTATTGGAGAAAGAGCTAGGAAAAATACACATCTATTTAGACACCAAGATCTTCATGCTGGTTATGTTAATAAAATCCAGTGACGTTAGCTGAAGCCTGTGGAATTTCATCATCCATGCCAATTGAAGATGCACTCCACCTTATGAGTTTGGATGGCGACAGTCGTACTTGATAAAGGAATATGGGCAAATGTGCCACTTTCTTAAACGTTGTCAAGCAGACAAACAAAATACTGAGAGCTGCAAGTATCTTTAAAATTAAAACCAGCTCATTTGCATCTGAAAGCAGGTTTTCCTTAGTAGGTAAGTCAAGAGAAGTCACTGATTTCTATGGTAGGTTCTAGGTAGAAGACTCCTAAATTATATTTCGGAGACATGTGGAGGTAATTGCCAAAAACTTACATTAATGAAATCAGATGCTGCTATTAAACACCTGGTACAGATATCCCACGCGGCATTGCATTACTCTGGTCTTACACCCCTTTGTTTACCTTCAGGTTTGCTATTTTCTTTTGACAGACCATAAGCACCTGAACATAACTAACCAATACTCAAGTACTCTTAAAAATCAACCACCTGCCAATATTTCAGTTGACATCATATTGTGGGTGCAGTCTTGACACATGTGCAAGAGAAGAAAAAAATTGAAGCAGAAAGCACTAACAACATTTAGAAATGTGTCTAATTTCATCTACTTGTCCTTCTATTCAAAAAAGACTCCCAAACTCATGAATCAGATAAAAGCAGTCCTATCATTTCAGCCACCTGAGAATCAGAAATCATGCAACCATCAAGACAGGCTCTAGTTATATTGAGATCAGAAATACTTAGTAACATCTGCTCTGCAATACTGCATTTGTATTGATTACCCTATGTCATACCACAAGATACAAGACAAAAGAATAATCACCATGTATGACAGGCCACTAAACATTAGGCTAATTTAAATACTAAGGAATATGCACACAATTCCCTTCGAAGGCATCTGAATTTTTTTCAATTACATTTCCTATACAAACTCATTGCTACAGACTTTCTGGAATAACTGTGATCAAGATGCACTTTATGTACATATGTATTTCATATACTTTATATACCACTGTGCCACATCAACGCTTTAGGAAAAAGAAGCAGTACTTGTACTACTTGTAACCACATAACTGGGCACAATAGGAACTTAGCAGGGCTTCCTTCCCCTCCACACTTCCCAAGTGTTCATATTTTAGCCTCATGTCACCCACTGAAGTACGGTACACTTAGGCTTATCCATTTTAATCTTCACACTTCAGAACCTGAGGAGTAACTGTGTTCCCAGGCATCAGACATAACACTTGATCATTAGAAACAGCTCCACTTCAGCCACCTACTTGGCAGTATCAGCTCCGCTGGTTATGAGGGTGTTAATCAAAAGCTCATGTCCGTATCTTGCAGCCACATGCAGAGGGGTGTTACCATCCTTATCAACACAGTCGATTTCCCCTCCTGCAAAAGACATTTTCATACAGTTTAACACTAAAAGATTAAGTACGAACCAGTGACCACAAACGTTATTTCTCTCTAGCGAATGCAGCATAACCAGCCCAGCCACAGACACTAAATTTCAGAGACCAAGAACCAGCACACAGCAAGCTGTCAGCACTGGTACCAAACGTGGTCTGGCAGCAGCATTTTCACCTCCCTCTCCAACTGCAGCGGTGGGGAAAAATGGTGGGAAACAGGTGAACAGGATGACATACAACGGTCAAGTACATGATTCAGACTTCCCACTCATCTAAAGGTACAAATGGATGCCTCAAATTAAACTAACAGAATAAACTGCTGAAACTATGCCCTCATTCGTAAAGGCATTGCCACTCAACCTTACCTGTAAGACCACCGTGTTAAACAGAGTTCGTTCAAGAGGCCAGCAGGAACACACTGCAAACAACAAGCGTGTTGTGTGCCTTCTCTGTGTCTTACCAAAGAACAACCAAACAGCACTTAAGTAGAACTTTTCCTGTTGTGATTTAAGCCTGTCATCTCGTGTTTTATCCTCACAAGCAGGAAAAATAGAGTATTTCTTTCTGTTCTGCTGCAGCTTTTGACCCATGCAAAGATTGCTATCAAGTCCTTGTTTTCTTTTTGGACCAAGGAACTGCGGTTTCTTCAGTTTCTCCTTGTAAGTCAGGTTTGCTGCACTCCAACTATTCTCATCCTCCCGCAGTCCTCTCCAGCTGGCCCACATCCTTCTGGAAGTAAAATGTCAAAAGCCAGAAACAGTACTACACCTGACGTCTCCCAACGCTGAGCTGAGCAAAAGGATTACATCTTGCCTGCTGGCTATGCTCTTGTCTATACACTCCTGTACATTGTACAGCACCATGTACATTGTTGATGCTTTTTTTTTAAGCACCACAACACTGTTGATTTGTGATCAACAAGCTTCTGATCCTCTATAAGCCCCAGATTCTTTCTTGAGGAACCACCACCCACCCAGCTGTTGCCATTCTGAACTTGTCCAACTGATACTCCTGCCTGGGGGGGGCGGATCTTTCCTTTGCTTCACTTGCATTATAACTTCTGTCTCCAATTTTACAGGATCATTTTCCATTCTGACTCCACCTTCTGCCAAACTAGCAGTCTTTCCCAACTTCATGTTTTCTCCAAATGTTAAAAGCACATTTTCTATTCCACTATCCAAGTTATTAGTGAAAATACTGGATAGGTCCAGACCCAGGAGGGAAACTGAAACCCCCCTCACTACACCTTCCATTTCAACAACAATCCATTTATTACTAATCTCTGAGTGTAAGCTTTTCAACTAGTTATGCACCAACACTGTAATATTTTAATACTCTGCTAGTTTGCTGTGAGAATACTTTATGAAAGCATGTAAAAAGTCTTGCTAACATCAGGATATGGTAGTATTTACTGCATGTCCACTATTCACAGGAGATACAGGCCATAACTGCAACAAGACAAGTTCTAGTAAAGCACTATACAGCATTTTCTAATGGTAAATAAAGGTCAGTGAAATGCTAGAACAGGTTCCCTGGGGTGGAGGCTCCACCGGCAGAGGTCTCCATGAACATTACCTGCCCACAGAAAAGTCAGAGGACTGTACTGTGTTCACAAAGCCTATTACTCTGCTATAGAAGAGAATTATGATGTTTCAGCATCTTTTACTCTTAAAAAATCTACTCCTCCCTAAGTGTTTATAAACAGTTTGTTCATTCACTCTTTTCAGAATTTTTGGCTGACCTATGTAAAATTCTCCAGCTTTTCATTTTCCCCATTTTTAAAGATAGGTATCACATTTGCAATTTTCCAATTTTAAGGTAATCCATTCTTCCTCTACAAGTCGCTAGAGACAGCAGACACAAATTGAGACATTTTTAGCCAGCTCATTAAGTACTGCAGAATGAAACTCCATTTCTTTAAATCATTGAAATGTCTCTCTTCCACAATATCCCATGGCAATAAGGCACAAAGTCACTTGCAATCAGATCTGTGTACAATAGTAAAATTAGAGGGGCAGCAAATCAAGAAAGAAGCGAAACCCAAGTAACTTGGAGTAGAGAGGCATGAAGGACAGACAAAGAACTGCCAGTCCTTTCACACACAAATCCAACAGAGAGCAAACAACATCTGTAAGTCAGAGAGCGTATTTGACTAAACAACTAAAAATTGCATTAAAGCACAGTTTCTTCCAGTTTGCCCAAACTCTTTTTATTACTATTTTATTTATCCAAGAAGAGATATGACAACAATTTGCATGATGACCTGAAAGAAGCATGATGTACTGAAGACCTCCATTTTAAAATACAATCTTGTGTAGATATAAGTGTCGTTACGTTTACAGCATAACTGTTCGGCCACCTTCAACATCTCACACTTAAGTTCCAAGTTTGGGATTTTGGAAAACAAACAAAAAACAAACCAACCAACCAACCAACCCCAGATCTTCCTGTCTGGTATAGTGGCCAAAGCTGGGAAGCATAAGTAAACAATCAGTAACAGCAAGCAACCTCTGTCAATTGGAAACAGGCCTCTGCCAGATCTCCAACAATAATATTTGTTATACTGTATAGTATTCTTGGACAAAAGAGATACCTGATAAATGACCGATAATCAGGAATCCCGGCTATGCCAGAACAAACAAGGTGGCGCTGGTCCACCCTGCTCAGTATTTATTCAACACTTAAAGAAGACAGTGGCGAGGGGTGGAGCTAAGGGAGGTGAGGGAAGTACAGCTGCTGAGTGGAGCGTAGAGAAAATGGTCTAAGCTTTAAGAACACCAGGGCTCCCAAGGGAGGACAACTAGAAACTTTCTTTTTTTAGTTTTTAAATAATTTGAGAAAGACAGTTGTGCCTGTTTCTCAGCAGAAAAAAGACCTAAATACAGGTTTGAACTCTTGTTTTCAGGTTAAGAATCACAACAGATCAGCTGGACCACCGTCAGCTGGAAGAATATGGGATTTTGTTCACAACCAAAATCTCAACTTGTGATGACATGCTGGAATGAGAGCTGTGAGTGCAGCTCAAAGCCAGAAGTTGATGGAGAGATGAACAGCTCTCAGAACAGTCCTTTGGCACTCTGGGTCAGAACAACTAAAAATTGCAACCTTGGAAATGCCTAATCTTTTGGGGAGTTGTTAAACAGGCATAGAAACTCACCGTTCTGAATGAGGGTCTGCGACCGTGTGAACCTCCCATGGACAGCTGTCATGTGCAGCGGGCTCTTCCCATCCTTACTCTAACAGAAACAAAACATAAAAGCAACCATTTAGCATATAAAGCAGCGGTAACCATTTGAAGTCTCTCAGCTCAACATCCTACAGCTATTCTTCGGATAAAACCTCCACTAACTTCAAAAGTCTGTAGGACTGAATCTATGCATGATGGTAAATGCAGAAGGTATAAGCATACAAGTAAAACAGTTCCTCAGCAATGAGTAGGAAATGGGCTGGAGTAGAGCCTGTCTTTATGGCCTGGCTGTACACAACACCTGCTAGAAACCTACAGACATATGACATATTATTCATTAATATTATTTTTAAGCAACATTTCCCATTCAGTCATTATTTTCCTTAACCCTTGCAACGAGGGGAACAAAGAAAAGCAAAGGAACTATAAAGCTAAGTAGGAGCAGTCTCCAAGAGATTCAAGAACTATATCCTGTGTATCAATCTGCATTTTATAGATACATTCCAGAATAAAAGCCATTATATTAACAAGTTTGTGCTAATGAATTTCCACGCAATCAAAAATAGGATGTCTACAAAAGACAATTAGAAAACAGGGAAGGCATATGAAAGGAAAGGTACAATGAGTAGAGATCAATGTTTTGGGTTCTAGAGAAAGAAACTGAGATTGAGGAAGCCGAGGAGCTGAGAAAATAGCAAGGGAAGGGTTCCAGCCTCACTACTCACATCACTTCATGTTTACTGGCATGGGGTTTTGCATTCATTGGCAAGCACAATCCTTAATTTCATTTTAATAATTCTGAGTTTAAATAGTGTGCTGACTATTCACTGATCTCAAGGGACTTGCTAGAGGTGTTAAACGCTAGGAGACCAGTTTTACAGATGGGAAACTGAAATACACAGAGTTTAAAGTAAAGCAGTCAAAATCCTATATAAACTCAGAGATCTCAAGTCTTCTAGTACGTATACCAGTACCCTCTGTTGGATAACAGCAAGTCCCTTTCAGCTTCATCAAGATGCATCAATTGTATCTCAAGAGCATTCAGATATCCTAAACAGAATCAGGCTTTGTAAACTCAGTCTCTAAAATAGGTAAATAAATAACCTGCAGTTCTTAATTCCCCAGTAAAGTCAAAAGGAAATTTTTAGAATCAGGTTTAATTAAATCCATATTGTAGGAGGAAGAAAAACACCAGAGAGGAATAGTTCCTGGACCTACCACCACTCCCTGAGATGACATTTTGACAGAGCTCCTGGGACTATATTTTAGTAGTGGTTCATGCCTTCAGGAGAGTGGCTGGCCTAGAGTTTAAAGCTGTCATTATATTTATCAAGGCACTGAGAGCTCCTCTGCTGGGAAGTAATCTCATCCAAACAGTTTAGTGATCAAACATTCTCAGCATCGCTCTACTTCTATCAAGGATTTAAAGCCATGCGGTACTCGTTATTATAGTTTCCAGTCTCCTGAGGTATGCCAAACAGGATAAAGTAAAACTGAAGTGCTGCAACGCAAGTTTTACCTGAATGTTAACATCTGCCCCATTATTCACTAGTAGTTCAAGACACAGTGCTCCATGAGTGGAGGCAGCAGCAAAATGCAAGGGAGTGAATCCATTATTATTAGGCTGATTTACATTAGCACCATAGTCAATCAGCTCATTAACAACAGAATCCTGACCATTGTAACAGGCAATGTGAAGTGCAGTATTTCCATAGATGTTCATTTCATCAATCTAAAATGAGACAAGGAGACATAGTTAAAATTACAGACATCAGCTTACCATTTTACATAATGCATCACATACTGCAAATGGAAATAGCTGGAGGCTTTAACTGTCATAGGGCATATTTCTCACCAGCAAGTTTCATTGACAAAAATATACTCCCAGAGAGTTTAATTTGGAATGCTTTACCTTTACTATTATTAACTTTTTATCCTACTGGCAATTTCTAAAAGCCAGTATGAAGCTTAAAGATGATAGCAGGACTATGTAATGATGATGATGATGACAAAAGTCCTAACAAGCTGGAAAGCTTTTACATATAAGTGGGAAAGTAGCATAAATAAAAAGCTTATAATCTTTATTAAAAAAAAAATTAAAACACCAACTATTGAATTTTTGTGAACAGAATCAGGTTTAAGAGCTCTTTCCACAGATTTCTTTTGGGAAGGGAGTGAAGGTATCTGAGTGAAGGGAAGGTGAAACTGCAGAGCCATTTACACTTCAATAAGAAACCACTTTCAGTAGCTCAGTATTATAAAGATGTAATTAAGATTATGTTACTTCTTGACAACCAGCTTAGTATTCAACTGCAGTTCTGTAAAACAGGACAAGACAGATTGTACAAAAGACTCGGGGATGACGTGAATACCCTTCCACGAAATACAAGCATCTAAAAGATCATATCCCCAGTGGTGAAGAATGTGGAAGATAAAGGTAGTTATTAGCATAGTATTGCTAATAACAGGAAACACCTATTACCCTTCAACTTCACAGTCAACAGCCTGTGAAGACAGACTTCTGACTTTTTTTTGGCAGGTCAAGTCAGCTGAAAATGCAACGGCAAATGCAATGGCTTTATTTGACATCTCTGATAAACTAGTGCAGGCTCTTCTGGTCATCTCACTGCTGCTTTGAACCACTGAGTTGACAATATTACACTGAGAGAAGTCTGTGCCCTGAAAAAAAATTATTTTCTAGAGTGAAAATAATCCTCCTTCCCCTCATCAGTTACAGAGGAAATACAGGTCCTTAAACTTAAACAGCCTGAACTACTGTTTAGTAAAGTATGCAGTGTATAAGTTGACAACAACTGCTCATCATATCAAAGGGAATGCTGAGCCAAAGGAAATTTCATTATTCCATTTTCCTCTGCAGGAACAGCATATATCTCATGATTTCTTCAGCAAGGTGGCCTGGAATTTACTGTCCATATCAGACATTTTTTATTCCAGAATATTTCCTGGCTCTTGAACCAATAAACCACATAAAACACAAGGTGGTCCAGAAAATGGGAACTACTTTCTTTAGAAGCTTTGCCAATGTCTGTAGCAGCATCCATAAGAAAGAAGAAAAGAGTATCTCCAAATATGGAGAAACATGGAAGCCACAAAAAGCACGTTACCACATACCTCTACCCCCAGGTTAAGGAGGTGTTTCACAATGTTAATTTGCCCATTGGATGCAGCTGCATGAAGTGGGGTGTAACCCTTCTTGTCTTTACAAGTCACTTCTGCACCATGATTAATCAGTAAGGCAACAACTTCCAGGTGACCTTCAAAGGACGAAAGATAGTAATCAATGAGTATACCATCCTACAGCATCACTTCTCCCAAATTACTGCTTTCTTGCTAATGCACTGCCCCTTTCACTGCTGTTTCACAATGTTCCCACAGTTTTACAAAGGAAAAAAAAAAAGAAATTCTCATAAATGTTCTTAATCCTAGCTTTAGGCCTTGTCAAGATATCCATGCATTCACCTTCACCAGATGTGTCAAAGTTCTCTTTACTGAATTAGTTTTCCAGTCATTAAAAGAACAAAACCACACCTCTTTCCCATTTATTTCTCAGAAAATAAGAGTTTGTGTTTTATTCTCCCTGTTACAGAAAGAACAGTGAGCACAGGAGCATGACAATACAAGTCTCCCGAAACAGCATGCAGATGTTGATGTCATCTGCAAACACAACTGCTGACACTTGTTGGTTTTTGTTAATACAAAATAACTTTAATAAATGATAAAATGAAGGTATCCTCTTTTCTAGCACCATTAAGGACACGGAAGACTAAATTTCAAGTGAGTGCAGAATTTGATCCAAAGCCTACCAATACAAACACAAGATTTTCTACTGAATCCACTGATCTTTGGATCAGGTTTTTGAATCTCCAAAACTGTATCATTAACACAAAACTGTGCAAAAAATCCTGAATATAGGTCTAAAAATGTTTGAACCTGAACTCATAGTCTGTACACACATACTTAGTCTGCAAACTAAAATAATTGCAATAGCCTCAACGGCCACACAGATTGAGAGCTGACTGCCAGATCGATGGGACATCTGCCTTCAGGAGTGAAATGCCTACTCCTGAATTAGGATCTCCCTACAGGATACAGGGGAAGAGCTGAGCATCTCAAAATGCAACTTAGAACCCACCTGTATCTTCAGTTTCATCCTCTCCCTGAAGGTCTCAAACCATCTGGCCTGCCTTCCCAGATAGTGACCTAACCACTAAAATTAAATCAAGGCTAACTGAGGAATAGTCCTTATGGCTTCATGCTGAAGCAGAGCTGTCTTTCTTAGAATTAAGAATTTATTATGTCAAACACCATATAAAGTTGTGCACCATCTGAGTTGTACAGCACCTTCACCAGAGAGGCAGCTCTGGTCATATGCAGGACCTAGGAAACTTTATGGACAAAGTCCAAAGTGCCCAAAGATATTTAAGCATTCAAGAAACTACATGAAGGTTTACAGGATAACATGCTCCAGTCTCACTATCTAAATTCTGTCCAAATTACACTACACACTCCTAAATCCCATTGCTAATTTAGGTCTTAAATGTTATCTAAATATTTTGAAAAGCACATCATGAATTTCTGAAAAGAATTAAGAACAAATGAGATGTGGAATTGCACAGCACAATGTAAAAGCCTTTCACCTCTACAGAGTGGAGTTCAAAGCTTGCTAGCTCAAAAGCCAAATCACATTCGTTGGCAAGAGTCTTTCCATCTGTCTGTGTATATATAAAAAAAAAAAAGCACAATATGCTTTCCTCACAGTTTGAAATCTCCCATTATCTCATTTCCAAAAGTGCCAGGATTAAAATCAAGATTTTGACAGGTCAGATGAAAGAGTTCCTGGCCGAGGGCACACAACATCTCACAAATTATAATCTGGAATACACTGCGTGGCCAACAAAAACTCTTGAACAAGCGTGACAACCATCACAGGCAATATTGTTCTAGTATTTTTAAATTATAATGCCCTACTATAAGAAATTTTACTTTAACTTTAACTTTAATTAAGCAGTATTTGGTAACGCCACTGATGTTTTGAATAGACAAATCAGTTGCTCTTGTCCACTCTGGAATAAAAGACGACAATTTGCTCCTAACAGGAAGAAAACCTATGAAGCACTTCCTAACAGTATCATCATTTAGCTACTTATAAACACAGATAAACAGCAAAATTTATGATCGTATTTATCTGCCTTTTATATAAAGTAGTTTTTAGCAAAAACTGAAACAAATATAACCTGTATTTTTTCAAGCCCAAATATACTTCAGGCTGGAATTGGAGTCAGGATAAGAAGACCAAAATGGAAAAAGCAACACAAAAAGCCCACAATTAACTGTGTTAAAAAGGAAATCACAGCCAAGTTCTCACCAGCTGCAAAACTGTAAATGGTCAGTGTGTATTTAGATCCGCTGATTTCTTCCCTCTTCAGGGTAAATACAACACTCACTTTCCATGGCCAGGTCTGCTCTCGTCCATTTTAAAACACGCTGTTGGTTTGTGAATAGGAAATTAAAAAGAAGGAGTAACAGCCCAAGCCTTACCCATGTACGCTGCCCAGTGAAGAGCTCTTCGGTCCTTTTTGTCAAAAGCGTTGATGTTTGCCCCCTTGGCTAAGAGTAAGTTCACCATCTAGAAGTAACAACAGCAAGTAAACCAACCCTGTAGATCACACACTCAACAGTTCATAACAAATCATTCTAGCAATAAAGTTGAGATCACAAAATCCTGCTTTTGAACGATAAATTTGTGAATTACAAAAATACTGTTCAAAGCTGTGTGCATTAATGACATGGACCGGTAATGGCCACAAGTAACCAGGACAAGTTCTGTGTCCACAGAGGGGGCTGAGAGCATGCAGGGTGCTGCTATTCCAGTGCGCTTCAAATTCAGCTTGGCAAACAACCTGGCAGAGAAACAGGCCTGGAAGAGAAACATTGCTCTTAGTTTTTACTGTTAAGACCAATTTAAGGGGTTTTCTTGTGGATTGGGACAAGATTCCTCCAGACTGTGAGGTAATAAACCGTAGCATCTGCTTGATCTTTCAACAAGGAGTGTCTAGTTCTTGCCATGCCACAGTGATTTTAATTAAGTTCCCATGTGCCCATGGCGGTGTGGACAGGCACCAGGCTGCTTCACATATGACACTGGCCTTTCAGACAGCATAGCTAAGACGTGAAAAGCTGCTTTCCCTATGGCCAATCATCCAACATTAAATGTAAGAAAAATCAGGGAAAAAAAGAAAGGAAACTGAATGGAAAACACATTCAACAACTATCTTTTTCAGCAAAACATTCTAAAATCATAAATTACAGAGCTGGATGATTGTCTTCCTCTCATACATTGCTTTGCCACAGAGATCGGCTAATAACAGCATATATTCAGTTAACATTTCTGATATACTCTATCCAAACGCTCAGGAGCTTTAGATTATGACAGACAGACTCAAGCATGACTATCTCTTTCCTACAGTGGGGTATTTTAAAGGCCAAACACCATCATCATTTTACAGGAACTACCATTCCACTTCCTTCTTTTAATTACAGTACAACTGATCAACTTTTGTTGACAGAAGCCTCCTGTTCCAGTCTAAGAGTTTTTATTCCATATCTAGATCTTCAGGTGTGGACTGGGCAAACAAGGATCCTTGCACCAGGATCTAAAAGACGCTAGCAAAACCCTTTACACAGGGGCTTTATTTACAGAAGTATGGTTTTTTTCATATAGAAACAGTAATTAGACTAGAAGGGCTTGCTTGTATAAGATAAGCAGAAAAACCAGAAGCACATTTTCTAGAAGACTAATTAGAAAAGCAGACTGACTGGATCTCAGACAGCTGAACATTTCTTCAGTATGAAATGAATCCACCAGTTTTCCCTTCTTTCCATTCTGCTACTCTTATTTTCACAGGCAGTCAAGCTCAAAAGAGCCAAGGACACGCTTGAGTTGCCGGAGCTGGTGGCACTGCCAGTCCTCCAGTTCTGCATGCACACCTCACTGGCATGCTGGCTCTGCACAGGTACTTTCCAGCCACTGTCTCGTTTCTGCAGGTAGGAAACCTGTCGCACAGTTTGGAAAGCAGCTGAATGACAGGAATCATGGGGGTCAGGGATACGGGGCTCAGTCTAGACCCAGCCACAGCAGGTTGACTGTTTGACCTTGGAAATAAATAAATAAACCAACAATCAATTACGCTCTTAAAACAACTCACCTCAATGTGGCCATTCAGAGCCGCATGGTGCAATGCCGTCCGCCCGCCTCGGTCAGAGACGTTGACGCTGCTCAGCATGGGGATGATGACTTCCGCACACTTCACTGCCTTGTTTGCAGCTGCCACGTGCAATGGTGTCTGCCAGTTCTTGTCCCGAGCATTGACATCGGCCGAGTGCTTAATCAATACTTGCACTGCTTCCTGCGACGGCAACACAGTTATATCCACAACCAAGCAGTTTGAATAAATACATGACCCACCTTGACAGCTCAATCATATTACCTATGCATATTACTTATGCATATCAGACACAGGCAGGAGGAGCGAAAGAGAACATTTATCAAAACAGCCTCCCAGGCTAGTGAAATGGTATTGTTGATTCAAATGCCAGAGTACACATCACCTTGGCTGTCATTGAGAGCCCTGTCCTCACAATCAAAATTTCCCAGTTTGACTTCAGGATGTACAAAGCTGCCTATGCAGAAAGCCCAACCTGTTTGGTTGATTAACCTTCAGTATCTCAGTCATCACAACTGTGCTCTCACTGAAGAAATGAATGTACTTATTTGAGCTCACTGTTACAGAATTATTCACAAAATGAAAAGCACATCATTTTGGACAGTAAAATCATAGCAAATTGCTCTAAGTTTTATTTATAAACAGGAAAAAGGAGAAAATAAAACAGAATATGTGAAAACAAAATTTTAGCTTTGCAAAAACATGAGAATCACAGGCAAGGGTTGATGCTGGTGTCCTCCCGTTAGCATTAGCATTCCTTCCCTCCCCGAGGGCTAAGCATAGGCCAAGGGTCTTCACTGCAACATCCATTCTGTCAGCCTGAGACCAAACAACATCTTTTAAGGTTAATTTTGTTGGTTAGAAGTGAATATTTCCCAGTGAGAAAATGTACTGTTCTCTCTTGAGAGACTGTCTCACTGAGAATTCACAATCAGTTCTTTTCTGCTTCTACTCATGCATCTGCCATTAAGGAGTCAGATGAAAAAACAAGCTTCACTCAAAATTACATTTTGTTTCTTCCTCCTTTTTTTTCCCCACAAACAAACAAACTACAAAGGAATGACGGGGACACAGTAGCATTCAAGTAGTCTTGTCTGCTAATTACAACTCACAGCTGGTAAGTGGGAGAACCCTAGTCCGACATAGTACCTTATTCTTTTTCCATAAACTGAAAAGTTTTCTCGTAAGCCCAGCCAAAATTTTATTAATGAATAACAAACACATACAGTGTGTTTAAATAGCACTTTTGTATCTAGAACAGCCCAGGAGAGCGCCTGCAGTCTGTACTAACAGTACATCCATGACTAGGAGTTGTAGTTCTTTGTCCGCAACTGATCTCAGCAATTTCATTTTCTACAGCCATCTTACAAACTGTCCTCGAACAGATTTGTTCAGTTAGTGACATTGCATCTCTTACAGCACCAATAATGATATATCACTGTTGATGTCTCCACAGGAATTTGTTTTTTTTAAATTACAGGCCTACTATTTTAAAAGTAATTTAAATGTAATTCACTGGAGACCTAATGAAGGAAAGAAAAAGCTAAAGGAGAATTTTTAGAAGTAAATAGTAAGGACTGAAAAGTATAAGCTAAAAATATTTCGACTTTTTAAAAAAAACATTTACACATTTTTGTTTACATCTGCAAATCTGCTGCTCTATCAGATGAGGATCAAAACATTAAAATCCTTATGGAGAAGTTTTAATTTTATTGCGCTTGAGAGCATGAGCTATCCCTTTTTATTAACATAATTTCTACACGTGCATGCAGTCCACAGCTATGGTGTAAGCCTCTGTATTCAGTGTCTCTAGCTATCCCAAGTTATCAGAGTGAGATCTCTTTACTTTTTCAAACCATATAAGGCTGAAGGCTTATAAAACCGTTAACAATCCTGCACAGACACACCTGAGGGTTGTTGATTTGTAAATAAACATTTAAATCCCTAAAGCCCACTTGAAAAATCATTAAGACTTAAGTAAAAATGTGTTCGTGCTTTTAATCAATCCATGAAAGGGTGCCAAGGAGACAGCTTCTGAATCCTGTGAAAGCTTCATAGTAAAAGATTGATAATAAAACTTAAACCTTGTAGGTGGTCATTCTAAAAGCAACTGTGCTCACAGGAACTTCAAAAACCACACCGAGTCCTACTGGTCAGCTTCTGGACCATGACTTCATGTCCTACTATCGATGTGAACTACAAATTCACCTATCTACTACTATCACTATCAGTTTCGTCCTATTATATTAAAGCTGCATATTTGTTAGCTTGTGTAATAAAGCAAAAGCAGCACTGGAAGAGCCTCAAAATGCTGAACCTTGTTTCAAAATTATTACCAAAAGTAGCAATTATCATATAAATAACAAAGAAAGAAGACCAGGAGAAGAAAGCTATGTGTATTTATAAAATATATAGCAGACCATGACAAGGCATCAAAGGCTGGTGCCTTCCCCTGCTGCCTCACTATCACACCTGGGTGAGTAGCAGTTTCTCATTGTGCAACTGGCCTTCAGCTGACAAAGGGTTAAAGATGAGACACAAACCCACAGAAAGACATACATTTTCTGTTAGAACTGTCACTGACAGTAAAAATCATGTACTCTGACACATCCAAAAAAAGAAACCAAGCACACTGCAATTCCCGCATCAGAAAGATCGTGGCTGTTTTTTAAGGCTTAAGTCTGACCTTTGTTTCCCAACATGGCTTTTTGTATTTTGCCTCATTACAGCATTCATACTCTATCAGATATTCCTTTCAGAGGGTTGCAGCGGATGCCAGCAGCTGGGAAGCTCAGCCAGCAGCCAAACAATGCCCGAGTTCAGAAGCGAGCCCAGGATTCCTGCCTCCAGGCTTGGCAAGCGCTGGGACTGTTACGGAGGTGATTCAAGTCCATCAATCTCTGGAAGACAGCCACCCTCTGTCTCTTTTACAACCCTTCCCCTCGTCCCCAGCAGCCAATTCGGTCTGCAGTTGGCCTCACTGTTAACTAAGTATTAGGGGGATAAAAGTATACAGGGAGGTCCAAAATGGAAAGCCAAGAATAATGGTGCAGATGAAAACACAGTCATGCCTGAGCTGCATTCCTGATTGTTATTACTGCTCCTTTTTGAGATAGCAACGGAAGTAGTACAATGTGATGCCAGAAGATTTCTAATTGTCAAGTAGAAGAAATATGGGCTAACCCTCCTTTATGCATGAATCAATGGCATTAACAGAAAACCTAATGGATGCCTTGAAATGCAATTAACAAACTCTGTGGCAATACGGGTTGGATCGCATACACATCCACTCCCTTCTGGCACATGCACAGCGTGCACACATCCGTATGGATTTATTCCTCTTTCTTTCACCACTTGAAGATGATGTGGCCACTGTAGACCACTGTGGACTCTATCCCACTTCAGTCCTGGTCACCCGCTCCAGCTGATGGTTGCTCAATATGACTTGCTACAGTAACATAAAGCATTCCACAAGGTGAAACTCAACCACGTTAAGGCTCAAAAGCAGCTATAACTAACTTGTAAAAGCTGGCCTCCAGCTGCAATGCTAAAGGCCCTGCACACAGAAAATGCTTCCCTGTTTGCATCACCATTCTACCTGCCACGGCTCTCAACAGTTTGCTTTTTCCCCCAGCGTGTAGTTCACGTGCAAATACAGGGTAATCAAATCTTACTTCACTTCTTGAAGCAACTGCTCGATGGAGAGGAGTCAGCCACATATTGTCCTTGGCATTAACACGAGCGCCTGCAAGTAAACAGCAGAGGTTACATCCATGCCTTGGGTGCGACATCGAAAGCCTGGCCCAACTGTTTCCTAGTAACGAGAACTGAGCCGCATGTGGTACTCTCAGCGCTCCCCATGACTCTCCTGGCACCCTGTTCACCTTGGAAATGAATTTTCCAGATCCCAGATAGATAGGAGCTGAAGCATGATTTGGAAAGAAAAGAACTGGGTAGGGTCAGACTATTATCAGGAATAGCTTTGTTTACAGGACACAAGAGAAGCAAGATTTGTTGTAGGGGATTGCATATGTATGTATGTATGTACATGTATGTCTATGTATATGCATTTTTTTTAGAACAACTGATGCAGTTGGGGAAAAAAAAAAAACAACCCTTTGCTCAGAGCGCTGCTGCTGTCTGCAGACATAATGAAGGGAACGAGCCTGAATAACCGTCTCTTGCTTCCAGTTCCATCAGGCAGACCACTAAAAGGTATAACCACTTCCCTGCTTCGCAAATCTTGCTGGGATCAAGAAAACAGGACCAGGAAATTCTCAGGTTCAGGAGGAAACCAGGCACTTACTCCCTCAGCTTCTGTGGGTGTTATTCAGCAAACATCAGAAGAAGAGGGATGAAGGAGACTATCCGTTTGCGTTCTGTGCGGTTC